AATTGAAAGGTCTACACTGTCATAAGCCGACCCAAACAACCCGTAGCGTTTAAAAGTCGGCCAGCTTAAAGTATAGCTTGCCTTTCTGGGTCGCCAGAGTACGAGACTAGGACAGTACCGTCAGTGACCGAGCGTAAACGGGAGACATGAGGCTGAGCTGGAGCAGAGCTCAGTCGCACACTTGTGTCATGCTTCCTCGAGGTCCTATGCCTCACTGTCAGTCACGGAATGTCAGTTTGCCTGTCTCGCTGAAAATCACAGAGAAGATTCTTCAGGACGAAGTCTAGGCAGCAGAAATGCATTTCATAAATTAGTATTTAAAACTGAATTCTTCAATGTCAGTCATGTTCGTCTTCCATCTGAATGATCGTGATGCTACAGCTTTGCGATTAATTTGAAACGTGGCATGGGTTTGTATCCAACTAGCAAAACTCATGGTATCTAGGAGTCGTAATTACTGAACCCTTGAATTACCGATTCATAATGGGCATCCAACAGCCGTATGCTCGAGCGTCGACACAAATTCTGGTAGAGTAAATTGTGAGAGATTGTGCATTAGTACCGTACCAACAGCTGCTGCTGCCATATTCATCTTGCGGGTACCGAAACAACACCGTTACGTTGGCTGACAGCGAGCTAAATACCCTCAGCCGAGAAGCCGCTGAAGTAATCGGTTATTAAAAGATTCTGGCTGGTCCGAACCTGTCAATTCGCCAACATTTCAGCCTCACCTGCCATATATGACTGAAATCACGAAAATCATTCTGCACCAATGATTCTTCCAGTGTGGTCGAGGGAAAGGGCAAAAACTGCTGAGTCGCATGACGTGCCAGATGTGATGCTTTCGACAAAAACCTAGGTGAAGATCTGACAAAAGTGGTCTCATTCTTTGACGTAATGCTACCTTATATTTTAGGTAAACAAGAATGCCAGAAAAAGTCAAAGGAACGAAACGGTGCAGTTTCAAAAAGTTCAGTTCCTTCCTATCCTCATAGTTAAACACTTACTTGAGGATACGCCGGAAAGTGCAAGTAGCGAAAATATCCCTGACGCGGTGTTTTGAGCCAAGTCGTCTTTCTTTCCGGTAAATGACTCTGCTTCAGCCGTTGATTAATGATCAATGATTACGGGCGGTTGACTAATGGCGGGGCCACGGGGAGGAGTTTAACGATGCCGCTTATGTTGCGGTTTCACCAATGACGTACAAGACGTCTGCTGACGATAAGACGTCTACGTACAAACAACGACCGACCTACATTGTGGAAATATTTACCCATGAATCACGCAATTAACCGCGCAAAAACGGTTTATTCGATGGCGGGCAATGTTCGTTGAGTGACACCGTCGCCAAAGCATAAGGAAGTAAATCTGGTCGTCGATGACGGTGTGATTCAGTGGCAGACAGAGGTTCCGCATTAAAATCAGGATCATTCTAAAAACAAGAGTTTAAAGTTCAGAATTGAGCAACTTCATGAGTGCCAAGTGATGGGGATGATTTTTGATTTAATAATATCACAGGAAAACCTCATTGGATGGCTGTGATACAAAGCATAGCGACGTTCCAACTGTCACTGACACCGCGAAGGGCAAATAGCAGTACTTCAAAAAAGTATGTGAAAATCTTGAGTATGTGGAAGCATCGTGGAGCCAGGTGACTCAGCAAACGCAGCAGACTGTAATAGTCAGGTTGCAAGTCACTGTCGAAAAGACAGCGGTTAAGAGAGCGCATAAGAGAGGGATAACCGGCAGCATTAGCCAGCAGGTATCACGAAGTAGCTTTGGGCAGCGACTGTAAAACTAGCAAGCTACATTATCATCACAACATATACGAAGACAGCCTTATTCGAGATGCTTATGCATAGTCAAAATACATCTTCTGCCCTGAAGCATAATGAAACGTGCAAAAACAATGTCCAATACCAAGTATCCACAAGCGCGATGCCACAACCAGACGTTGACCACCAGCGGTTTAACAAGTCCCCCGACAAAAGAACCAAAAGATGTGCGGTGCCGGGCCGAAAAGGAGAAGAGAAATTTGCAGAAATATGAGCAAGATCATGTGGGCTTCGTAATCAGCGAGTCTAACTACTTCAGTATGCCAACTGTCCCAAGATTCCTCGCCGGCTCCCAATGGTATGGCCGCAGGATGTCCGATCCTAAGGGAACAGTGAACATACCCTTCTCGAGTTTTGATCCACCCTACAACCACTCCGTCGCGCAATATCAGATAGAACCGCCAGTTGGCCGGTTCTCGTTCTTCCCTGATGGGAACTACGCAAATGAGCGGGACTAAAATGTGTTCCAGGAAACGTCTAGTTGAGAGGGGGGGTCCACTAGCGACGAGAAATACAAGCTTGGCTACAGCAGCGAACATCATCTAGCATAAATGTGAGAGATGATTTCCAATGGTCATAATCCACAAATCTGGGCTATCTGTTGCTCAAGCACTGTTCACGTTAAACGGCGATTCGCAGCAATAACGATAGCCTGAATGAATGCCTGGCTTACCAGATACATTATGTCATGAAGGATTCTCGACTACCGTCAATCACGCTGCCTGTGAAATATCTTCCAACTGAGACACAGCACAGTCTGGCGGAATAACCAAGTAGCAACAAATCGCAACAAGTCGATGGTCTACAAACAGACTAGGGACCATGTGGCGCTAGGCTGGACCGAGGCTTATGTTGTTTGTGACTATGCTGCTCATTGCTGACAATATCGAAGTTTGCATTTCTGATAGCCACTACATAATATCTTTAAGAGCTGCAAATGCTCAAACTAAAAACAATAAAATTCAAGCAACAGAGTATAATGTCAACGACTCAGTAAAGGAACATGAAAAAAGAGGAACCTGCAAGAGCTTTGCACCTATCACGAAACTTCTAATCAATTGAGAAACTAATTACAGCTGAAGTAGAATTTTCCAATAATCATACAGTAAATCGTTTGTTACACTTTGTTCAGTAATGGCATTATTCTTCAATACATCAGCTATTGGCCTGTTACTGAGATATCTTCAATAAAAAATTTAATTACAGCGAAACGGAAATTTTTTTGATTGGAACAAAAGTGGCTTTGTTATATCTTTGGCAGAGTAATTGAGCTGGCATGCAATATACCATTTTTCGAACAATATGTTTTGTTCCTGATGCTTGGAACGAATATGGCAGGGAAAGAAGGAAGCACTGACTTCTCTCGGACAGGAAGAAATAGCACCCTCAATGATTGCTAATCAGACATCCTTAAGAATTTTTGAGGAGCGCAGAGAGGAATAATTATTACTAGAGTTTTATTGTAGCTTGAAAAGAGAAATCGCGACAGAATAAAGGTGTCATCGAAAACTTTTCTTATGAGTACGCAGTGATACTTCTAAGCGTCAGAGAACTGTTCAGATACTAATGAGATTATGGACTGCATGAAGACAATGAGGCATAGAATACGAACGCTGACAGTAGTCGCATGTTTGGAGATACAGCGGAAATTCAGCCGACCGCAGTGCAAGGCCTAAGTAGATGTGAAGTCCGCCTTTTACTCGATGAACAGCTCAGTGCTCTTCTTAGCGTTTAGGGCACCAAACCTTCGAAATGACTTACAGAGTAGGACGAGTACCCGTATTCAGACTTCCTCGACTCTCTCAGGACGGTTTCACACATCGTTGTGAGTGAGACAAGGGCGCGTGCTTGCCCTTCTTCCTCTTGTTGAGTCATAGATTGGAACCTTGAGCATATGCGCAACGAAGGAACCTCCATAGTGGTGACTCTGCCTTCACAAGGCTGAGTAACAGAGACGACATTGCGTTTCATTCGACTCGTCCAAACTTTTTCTGGTCAATCCTCTCAGCGTTCAACAAGACTTCAAACGAACTGGGCCTGAAGATTTCCTGGCAAAAGCGAAGGTACCAAACTTAAGAGCGGGTCTGACAGCAACCAAGGTCTAAGCAGATGGCCAGGTAATTGCAGATGTGGAAGAACTTCGTTATCTCAAGAACTTACAGAAATTTTCAGACTTGATGCGCCTCGCCGCTTCAGCTATAAGGGAAAAAGTAAGTTTCTAACCACATACATGCATACATAGAATCTCGGTCTTCCTTCACTTTCATGATTGGTCATTTTTTGAGTCCGTTCTTGTCATGAAGTTAATGGCGCAGTGCTGATCTCAGTTTTTATGCCATCTGCTTCGACTGCCTTATTTTGTAAGCTGAATTTAAAGCCAGGTATAGTCTCCTGTTTCCTTCCCACAGAGTGGTACTTATTTATCAACCTCGGAAGAACAGAGGGCCACAACTGTTACTTACTGCGACAAGCGCTTGAACTCGAGATGTATCACAGTTTTGGGTTTGACGCTCTATCGACTGAGCCACGCCGGTCTAAAGCAATGTGTAGAAAATTCTATATTCAGACATAAACCTGTATAGCGTGCCTGGTCATCAAACCCGTTGCCTGCTGTGTTACGTGGATGTCGCAGAAAGAACACGGTTTTCGGGCTTTCCACATAAGGAATAGGAGGCGGCTCCATATCATCAGCTAACAAGACTTCAACCGTCGTCAATTAAATGGATTAATCAGAGACACAATCGAATGAACGGAAGAGTTATGTTTTGGCCAGGGGGCGAGACTGGCAACAGAGGACCCGCACACCGTGCTCTTGATGCAGCTGGAAACACTCACCACAGAGTCAAATA